CGCGGTGCGGTATTCAAGATACGCGCTTGATTGAAAAATCACTTCATTGTTCTTTTTCTCTTAAAAATATATAATACGACAGTATATCATGGTAATTACTTAAATCTTTGTGTGTTAGAATTTATAAAGCGGTTACTGATATTTTCACTTCAAATTATTTTGATTATTTTAAATAATGGTTTGCTAGTAAAATTGCCTTTTTGGCACCACCTTTGTTCTCATTTTTCATTTTAGTGATAACATTTAGCTATTTATCAGTAAGTAAATAAGAATAATCAAATTTTTACAACTAACGAGTACATTTCACGCTAATTGTGAGACGAACCCTAAATGACGTCTATATGGGCGCCGTCATTTTGAAATGGACGTCACGTCAGGTTACAACGTAAGTCAACGGGAAAAAATATAATTTAATATTTTGACCATATTGCTGACTTTATGAGAAAAATGAAAAACATGCCTAGAGATATTGACGTCAGGGTTAACATGACATTAATTTAAATGATTTTACTATTATATTAAATAAAAATGGAATGTTCAAATTTGATGGGACAGACTAGATCTATAGTAAGGATGAAGCATTTGTAAGGCATGGGAATTAAATAAAGTATTTCCTCATTCAAAAAACCACACTCCTTTTAAGCTGAAGTAACTTCAAATATATACAGAAGAACATTTCTATATGCCCTAAAAATTGCTTATATTAGGGTTTACCACTTGCGTCTTTCTGTCCATCCGTCGTAGCATTTTTACTTACAAGATAACAACTTGATGGTGGTGCTTTGGAAACAGCAACTGTATATATGAAGGTTCTTCAGCTATAAAGGAGGGTTGCTTTTGAAGGATGTATTACTTTATATTGAATTCCCATGCATTACAAATGCTTCCTCCTTACTAAAAAAACACTTTCAGGCATATAATGCTCCACCTAGCGGTGCTCTTGTTTATCCCTGTTTTCTGTTTCTTCAGTTGGTTTGATCAAAATGACGTCTTTGTCGTTTTCTTTATTATTTTCCATGTTATTTATTTATTTCCTTTTGCTTTCATCAAGTTTATTTTTTGCTTTGTTTTTAAACTCGAGTAAGATATAGATTTCCTGCATGCAATGTTACAAAATAGCGGTCGTTTACTTCATTTGAACATCTGTATCATTATCATTATATATATTTTGATAAGGTTTAGCATTCATTATTTTTGTATTTTAATCACCTTTTGTTTTTCTTCAATAAAGTTTCAAAAATCTTTCAGATGTCCATTATAACATTTCCAGATTTTAAAGATTTTTCACGATCTGCATTTTCCCTGTTAAACATCTTAGGACCGAAAGTTTTGTTATTTAGGAAATCGATATCAATTCTGAGTGCATTGTTGTTGAATAATGCACGGTTTGAGTTCAAATGCGTAGTAATATAATTACGAAAGCCGATAGGCCTGAGTGATTAATTACAAAGCACTTGAACGAAAAACGTGTATTATTAAACAATAATGCACTCAGAATTAATATCTATTTCCATTCTTACACGTCAAGAAAAATATAATTATTATTATAAAGTTGGACTTTATGTTTGGTGGTTAAATTTGTTTTCGCCTCAGAGTTTCCAATAGAAACGTTTGTTAAAGGGAGACACAGGCAAAATTTTCATTTCATAGTTTTGACTTTTTCATTCCTAATTCTGTAAATGCCCTCAAAATGAATATATTAGACAGTCAAAAGAACAAAACTTTTCTCCATATAAAGAATGAAATGGTGGTCTCCTAACCTGACCCACGCGGGTCAGGTTGGAGCACTAGGATTTCACAATAGTTGTCACAGTGAACTCTGGAAACGTTAAAGAACATGTCAAATGAATGATTTTGACTTGTTTCAATCATACAATATCCACAGTATCTATTAATGCAATTTCAAGGGTTTGTTCAAGTCACATGACTTGTTTTTAAACTATTCTGTGATTCTATTAGCGTCTAAATTTTGTTCAACGTATATAGATATATTTACGCTACAAATCCAAAATATATAGAATTTAAACAGAAATTCATGCTGAAACTTTTAGAAATGTCATTTTAGCGCGAGTTGAGTACAAAAGATCATTTTAATATTTTTGTCATTATTTTGCCTGAATATCCCTTTAAAGGCTGTTCCAGTGGCTTGAAGAAAAAAAAAACTGTCGTTAAATCTACCGCGTGTAGAAACATTTTGAGAATAACGAATATTGAAAACGTTGATAAAACTTTGTTTATTTTATTTCACTCTATAATTTTTCAAGCGAAATACAAATTATTAAAAGTGAAATAGATGTAAAACTTATCTCTGCTGATGTTGTGTTAGAATCAAAATAATATATTTAAATCATTTGGATACGCCCATCCGAATTCCCAAATAGTGATTTATCTAATTTAGCGATAAAATCACTGTGTGGAATATATTTCCTCTTAAATACGTAAACTAATATGTTTTAATTTAAAGTAAAACAGAAAAAAGCATTGCAAGAAGATAGTTATGGAATTTATTGGTACTTAGCATTGAAATGCAATGAACGAAATTCATTCTGATTAATAGTACAGACCCAAGCCAGAGATGACCAAGGTATTTATGATAAAATAAGACAATATAGATACCGATTTAAAAGTGTCTGAACAGGTGGTTTTATTAAAAGACACAAACAATATACAAATATAAATTATCCAAAAGCAAAGGATAGATATAATAATATAAAGAGTATAATTTCACTGATGTATAGCAGGTGCTTAATATTGAATCGTAAAGCCAAACTTGGCGTACTTATAGTAGACACAGTATTTCTCAAATGTTTTTCAATGTAAAATTAATATGAGTATAAGTGTGTTCTTTACCTGAAAATGGGGCACCTTAAAAACTCTGGAAATGTTATAATCAACATCTGAAAGATTTTTGAAACTTAATTGAAGAAAAACAAAAGGTGATTAAAAATACGAGAATAATGAATGCTCAACCTTATCAAAATATTGACTTTATGACCCAATAGGGGTCATGTATTGGACATGGTTGCTCATCCTATAAAATTTTACAGCTGTAGGTTGATTAATATTCAAGTTATTGAGAGGAAACTGATTTCAGTTTTAAGGTTATAGTCATCTTGAACTTTGACATTGTGACCCAAAATCAAAAGGGGTCTTCTACCCAATATGGACAATCATCCTATGAAGTTTGAATATTGTGGGTCATATGGAACTTAAGTTATGCTCCGGAAACTGTTTTCAGTTTTAAGGTAATAGTAACTTTGACCTTCGACTTTGTGACCCAAAAATCAATAGGGGTCTTCTACCAATATGGACAATCATCCTATGAAGTTTGAATGTTGTTGGCCAAATGGAACTTAAGTAATACTCCGGAAACCAAATTGCTAACGGACGGACGGACATACAGACGGACGTATACCCAGGGAGTATAACATAATACACCCGGAATTCTTTCGGGCAATATAAAAAGAAGGACTTATAGTAATATCAAGGGCAATTTGAATTGATAAAGCTGAAAGGTCTACGCAATATTTATTGTTCTTTATCAAAAAGATATTCAAATACTTATTCTGAAAGAGACATTCTATAAAACAAAAGTTCTATATTTCTTATTTCATGGGACTTTTACATCACCACCAGCCTACGGTTAAAACATCATATAACTTTTCACCACGTACAAAAAACTGATGTTTCCATCTGGTTTATTGGCTGTATTAGTAAAAGTTTGGGGTTTTTAAAACAAATCGAATGTTTGCCAGTTTACCTCATACCAGAAGCCAGCCCCAGCGTGTGAAGAAATTGATTCCAACGATGAATACCATTATTGATTTTTATGCCCTTAAATTTACCCTTGTCCGTCCGTCCGTTCCCTTTTGTGTCGCACGTAGCTCAAAAATTAATTGACCTAGAGTCATGAAACCCTACAGAAATGTTGATCAGCATGTGAAGTTGTGCACCTGGGTATTTTCATGTGAATATATTTAGTATTTTTAGAGTTTTTGCCCTTGAATTAGTAAAAATTTACATTTTTCGACTTGTGTCGCACGTAACTAAAAACATATTTGACCTTGTCATGAAACCTTACTGGAATGTTGCTCAGCATGTGTAGTTGTGCACCTGGGTATTTTTATGTGTATATTATTAGTATTTTTAGAGTTATTGCCCTTGACTTGTTGCTCAGCATGTGTACTTTTGCACCTTGGGGTTTTCTTGTGGATTTATTCAGTATTTGTAGTATTTTCCCTTTACTTAATAAAATATTTTTAGTTTTCAACTTGGGCACATATAGCCAAGAAAAAAATGACCTAGAGACATAAGATTGACAAATCGGTGGAGTGTGGGGACACCCGTGTCCTATTGATACATTTCTAGTTTTAAATAATGTTTGAAATATGATTTATACTAACCGGTTAGATACTGGGATTTTCCGTGTGATAAAATCCATATCAGTCCCAATATTTTACCCACAGTAGCTGCGTCGAACGATTTGTGGCAAACATTTTAATTCTTAATATTCAGTAAATTTGCGAAACATGTAAATTGTAGCGTTTTGTTCTATATGGGAAATTGACCGATTCAAAATCATTATTTCAGTAAGAAAATGTAATGGTTAGTCTGTAGTAATGATTTTAAACTTGCTTCAATTTCTTTTAGGAGCGCTTGCGTAACCGTTAAACGTATTGCGTTATCTTATTTACGTGTGTCTAGTACCCCCTCTACAATGAATCTAAATTTCTCTTATTATGCTTAAAAGGAATAAAATAAAAAAGACAATTTGTTGATTTTCATGAACATGCTATATATATCACATTTCAAAGTGAGAAAATATGTTTATTTTGTTAATTTAAATATTGCAATTTCCTCATTTTTCAGTGTGATATTTAGCATATTCACTCAAAACTACCAAATATCCTCAATATATTCTGAAAAGCAAAGGGACTTGTCCTATAGATAAAATATACCCATTGCCTCTACTGCAGTCTGTCTTTGATAAAGATACATACCACTTTGCCTCTACATTTTGCATCCACCTCTATTTTGACGGAGTCTGCTACAACTTTGTTCAGCTGTTCATCCACGTAAAATACCAACAGTCTTCCTGATGGACTGATACGTTCTTGCAAAATATCATCAAGTGGTTCAGTTGCTGTGATACGTTTTGATATGAAAACAGATCGGACTATCTTTCCTTGTGATAAAACCTACATAGGATAACATTTATACCAAATTTGAAAACCGAATCATTGCGTTAATTTTTTGTCTTGCTATCTATGCGTCTCAACAAGGTTACATTAAAAGTATCATTTTAAAGCATCGCATATACTTTATTTACATTTCCTCATTTAATTCGAAACTTTATTTCTTCTATACATATACACGATCGTAAATGTTAACAATATAAAAGTGAAAACAAAACCTCGCCACAAAAATCAAAACACTTAAGGGACAGGAATTCGAAGAAATGATAGAAGACAAATAGGAATTACAACATACATCAACAATAACCTATGTTTTTTATAACAGTCAAATAAAATGTATTTCCTTTCAAAATGTTTTGAATCATTTTAATTAATATCCATACACCAGTGATTCGCCTTACTTAGCCCATAAGAAGAATGATAAAAAGTACTTCCTTTTGAACAGTTTAACGGTTTTGGATTGTGTTTGCTCAAACAAGTTGCGCTTAGGCTTTGCTTATTAAAGCTTTTTGCTTTTCAAAAAATACACAAAACATATTCAATGTGTACTAAATTGTTGCAATATAACTCACCACAAACAACATTCCAGTGTAACTTGGTCCAGTATTATTTATCTGCACATTTGAGTAGACTTTCATTAGCATTTTGTTGTCTATCTGAAAAATACAATAAACACTTAACTCCCATGCTCAACTGACTAACTGAACTAAGACAAGTTAAAACAAGAAGAAGATACTTCGTCGAAGTAAATGGGTTAACTTGCATATGTTAGTTCTTAGTTTTCCATGCAACGTCTTACAGAAATGTAAGCATAGCTTGCATTACAATGACAATAATTTCTTGTAGGGTTATTAATTTTGAAAAATGGACCACTTTAAGATGTATGTGTTTCTAAACAATCCTGTCGTGTTTCGGCAAGTGAACTCGATTTCTAAAACCAACATCTTTGCAGTTTGTAATGCAATTATTTATAATATATTTAAAATAGTTTAATACTTTTTTACTCTTTCTTCTATATTTATCCACGGGAAGACCTAATTTGTTTTCGTATGCCCTTTTCGTTTATGTTATCTTGCTGGGGACACTTTGGAGGACAGGATAAATAAATATATTGTTTATAAATGAAATAAAAAACATCTGTTTATAAATATTATATAATACAATTATTAACCATTGTTTTCTTCTAACGTTTCTTTTTATATTATCTCCTCAATTTCAAAATTGATACTATAAATGCAATGTGAAAATTTTATGTCTCCTTTTATAATGTTTAATGATTTACTGTATGATCTGTATTTGTATGGTTGTGCATAATGGTACGATTGTATGATTTTGATTTATCAATAAATGGGGTTTCACATGTGTAGACCTGAAGCTGAAAAAAATATAAATACTTGATAGTAAATAGATAGCCTAATTGGTTTTTGCTACTTTTATTTTTTTAATGTTGTTGTTCAAAATAAACATAACAAACATAGCAACTTACAGTGACATACTCCACAAGAACTTGGTTTATATCGTCATACGCTATAGCTTCAAAAATATCGCTCTCCTGTCGGCGTGAAGAGCCAGGCCCTAAAACCTATTAAAATCAAGATTGTCCACATATTACCTTGCCTTTATTATTGTCTCTGATATTCATTTAAAGTACTTTTTATCATAGTTAAAAACGATTCATGAATGCCTCGAGATTTATGTTAATTTGATGCAAACTGACTTGGAAATATTTGTATGATTAAATACGTGTTCAAATGTAAACACTAAGTGAAATAACTTGCATGGTCATCTACTATCCATAGAAATGGACCTTTCAGTTTAAAGCAGTGATAACTTTGGTCCTGCTTTTTCACTGCTATAAACAATATCACAAACAAAATGTATACCAGATCAAGCAGTGACTACTGTATTCCTACCGCGAAAGACATTTGGGGAAAATCATCAATATATTACTAATAATACAATTAGATTTCTGTATTAGTTCTCTCCCGGAAGACAAGACTTAGGGAAACGTTATTTACAAAATCTTTTGATTGTATCTATAAATAATCTATACGTAAGTCTGAAATAATTCTTTGATACCAGAAAAGAAATTAAAATGAATTCGGATGACTTACTTCTTTGCAAATATTATTATTTTATTTATAATCATAATGTCAAGTTAAAGAATCGTGTGAGTCATAATTGAACTTACTATCAGAAAAGAAATCCATTGTTTGAATTCAATAAATTTTAACCGTAAAAATAAACAGTAAATGCTCAATATAGTTATTATTAGCTATTGTACTTGTAACAAACAATAACACTTTCCTTTTTAGCGAATAAAATCACCTTCATTCAAAGTATGCAAACTGTAAATAACATGCTTGTATTATACGATTTTAGTTAACCTGTAAATAATGGATACAAAAGTTCTTTCAAACTGCAAGACCGTTTTGCAAAGAAATATTTTTCATTGAAATATTTATCAGTTAAGCATTGTTATGTTAGCTTCATCACAATACATTATAATGACACATTTTTAATTAATAAAAAGTGCTTTAAGCTACATTGTTGAATGTTCGATGATCTCTTTCCCGGATACAAAACATTTCACCGCGAAAACGGCTAATTTAAAAAGCACGGAATAATTTCTGGGAATACAGTTTATATTATCCGATAGTCAGTCTGCCAATTTGCAACTAAACGTTAAAATGTCCATTACCATTCACTTCAGCTCAACTTAATTAAACAAAAGAAATCTACATATACATATATAGGTATATAAAATGTCACCTTTTGAATATTTTACTACCTCGTTGGGTAACATGAGTAACAATAGTGCATTTACTAAGCTGCTAAGAGATTGTTATTTAGTACCAGCCACCAAACCAATAATAAACGCAGACTTTTCGGAAATTCAATTTACATTTGATTTTTATTTCACAAACATTTTCGCTGAATTCCAATGTATCCTTTATAATTTTTTGACAATACAATTGGCATTTGTTCCACATTTCGAATGTGTTTTTCTTTTTTGAGTGCACAAGATAAACAAATTTCACAAAATTGTCGACAATGTTTTATTTACAAAATTTCGTCACAATTATGTGGATGAATAACATTTGAGTAAATAATCTTTGAACACAACCTTTATTTTCATTCAATCCATTGTTCAATATTTAAAACTTTCAAATATAACGTATTGACATTTGCCAGTTCTGTACATATTATTCTCTTATTTTCCTTTTATATTTCTTTGCAAACATACCTTAAAACGTAGACGATTAGCATGTGATGTTCCAATATAAGAAACAAATGTTTGTCCGTTGCTATCTGTCTGTGCTTCTTTAGAACCAATTAACCCACCTTTTTCGTCTAAGAACGCTAGTGTTATATTTTTACCAGCAGCAGGGACACCATTTGGAGTATGCATATCAACCTATCAATGTTGAATGGGTTTATGAGAAAGCATTCTGTAAAAAAGTAGAGCTATATATTTGATACTGGGTATGTGGCTCTTCTTGGTGTCGTATGTTTTCTCTATTAAGAAATCGTTGACGTTCAAGGTCACGTCCATGTTTCCTGATAAAGACACTAGTACTGGTTAGTATCGGGAGCCGACCTAGATAGTGTTCAAAATATTAGATTTAACTTAATCTTTTATATCTAATTTACTCCAGAATCAATACACGTCGGAAAACGGTATTGCAGATAATTGATCAATGATTAAAATGTGTATAACAATATATCTGCAAGTAATAATGAATGATGAGCATTTCTAAAACTCTTCTTATGCCTCGGGTATGTAGTAATTTAACAGTCCGTTCGTCTGTCAGTACGAGGTTAACCTAAACCGGCAAGTTGGATTTTTCTTATGTTATCTGGTGTAAAAAATAAATTTATACATGTTTGCTCATACATCCTTTAATTTTAAATTGACCTATCATGTTTAATACTGACATGCTTAGGGATGTCCTCTTCCTTCGGATATAGTTAAGGGTTGTTTGGGTCATGGGCAAGGTCAACAGCACAGAAATATATTTTTACATATGTAACCTTTTTCTGTTTACAGATGTCTATAACAAAATTTGAGAGGTCTTTCGAAGGAGTTAGGGGTCGGTTAGATCAAAGTTACCAAATCTTAAACCTGTTTTACTCTTTTGCACATATAACCTTCATTTATTGATAAATGACTTAATATCTGGTAGGAATATATCATGCATACTCTTCTTCCTTTGGATTTAATTAGGTGGCAGAAGGTCAAGGTCAGATGTGCGAGAAATAGATTTCTAAACATTTGCTTATACAACCTTTATCTGTTGATGATAGTTTTTACATTTGGAAGGAATACACTAGTAACTTGGAAAGTCCAGTGTTAAATGTCACAAGGTCAATGTCATGTGTGCGGACAATATTTTTTTTACACTTTTTATTATATAGCCTTTGTATTTTTTACCAATTTCTCTTCTTTAGAAGGAACATACCTCAGATGGTCCTTTAAGTTTGGGTGGAATTTGGGGTCACAAATGCATGACCTTGACCAAGTGATAATTGATATTTTTTGCAGGTTGAATATTTTTCAAATTTAAATGACTTGCAAACTTATATTTTCAGAATAACAAAATGTCACGACTCTGTCCAGTTATATAACGGTGTTTACAATTTTGGGCAGTTGTTCTATCCATTAATCAGTGGATGGGTAAACATGTTTGGAAAAATTGTAACTGGCAAGAACCTTGACCAGGGGCAATTGTGTTTACCAAACACATTTTTGTTTGATCATGCATTCCCTTGCCACTTTGTCAGAGTATCATTACTTTCACAACAAATCAGTGTTATGCAAATGTGCATTTTGCTTGCATTTTTGTATGGGAACCCAATGTATTAACTGTGACAGTTACCTTAACATAGTAGTCCATTCCTTTTCTAAAATATCGCTTACATCTAGTAAATTTGAAAACAAAAGGCTCTCTAGCAAACACAGTCGCATCGTTAAAGGTGCTTTCCACTTTCCCCGTCGCACTTTCAAACACTGTAGCGATAACTACAAGTCGACTACCGTCAACACCAATATTGTCCAGTAATTTTATACTGAATTCTGCATGTCCCTTCTCAAGCTAATATAAAAATACAAAGTTAACATATAACATCGAATTTACCAGATAAGTATCTTATTTATAGGTAGTTACTTATTGGATAATAATATTAACATATACATTAACTCTACATGTATTTGTTATTTATGAATAAAGACAACAAATAAGGTAACTACTTCTCGTCCAAAATAAACTGAATAAAAAAATGAACCCTCCCGCGTGGTCAAACGTATAGTTTGAAAAAGTGTCATCGTGGCGGTCATTATTTAATATATGCTACAGTAGTGTTCGCCTGTCATTAATATAGCAAGGGAACTTTACTCTTAAATACTCTTTTAAGTTCTTCACTTGATTTACCTACCTTGCAGTATAAATGTTGTTGATTTTATAAATGGAATTGAATACAAGAACAATATTAATACATTAAGAAATAATATGGTTTTGTTTTAACATTCATTCAGTCAATTAAATACACAGTCCCATAGAACCACATTTTTCATTAAAGAAAGCCTGATGATCGTAATTCACCTTATTAATAATATTAATTATGATATTGATGATATGTTTACATACATTTTTTTCGCTGCTCTATGCAGACGACCAGGCTGTGTTTGCTTAATCAGCGAAGTCACTGCAATCAATGATTCGTGACATTGACAACTAGTGCAATGTCTGGCGTTTCAAAATAATTTAATTTATTCCTTTGACTTAAAATATGTTGAAATGGCACAAAGATAAATTACCATCACTTGGTAGTTCAAAAGTAACTCTTTAACTCTTTAATCCTGGTGATTAAAGTCCTAAGTTTGTAATTGACATCAGAAGCAGGCATTAACGGTTAGATTGACCTTCATAGCTTTCATGCATACAAAGATACAATGTCACAAATATACCGTAAATATACATGCATAACAACATCTAAAATGTATAAAAACTCAAAGACACTCGAGGGTTAGACCCTTTCCCCCGTCATGAACCGCCCCTGTAAACGTTCCATAAATATTTTTAACGTTTTAACAAAGGTAGGACTTCGGTCTTATTCAATTATACTGTTTTTAAACCATTTTCACAAGGATAAGAAAATCACATGTACCGGCAAGTCGTTATTTTAATATTTTTTTCCGGAAAATAACATCAAACCAATGTCATACAGTGTCGTAAGAGCTTTGAAAATGAATATTTGTTCATACTTCTTTTTTTCTAAATGTTGTGATGAATCAAAGTACGTTTATATCCGATGTACGGTCCACTACCTTGATTCAGTAAATTAGACTTTGGACATACAAGTAAGGTGTTAAACTGCTACTTTTATTGTTACTTTGTTTCTTTAACTGACTATAATATCATTTTCTTATCAATTACTAGTAACCCTTTCTCTCTCGGTCGTCCCAGAATATACATGTAAACTACGTAAAATGAAGAAATTTGGCAAAAATCATAAACACAGGCTTTGATGATTGGGTGATGCAATAAAGAAAATAAAGAACAAGTCACTCTGACGGACATAATTCCTCTTCCGCAGCAGCCATTTATGTGTACTTCTTGACCTTCAACCATGACAATGATGTTGTGCAATGTTTATTATAAGCATATAGTCTTATGATAGTAATTATTTGTGCCAAGATATTCAAAATCTTCCATTAAGTCAAAACGTGTTGGAGAACATTTTACCTTGACTTTAGGGTAGCAACCTGGATTTTGGGTTATGCACATTATGTCATAATGGTCATATGAAGAGGACACGAAATGTACACTTTTTAACACTAGACCTTTACCAGTGACCTTGACCTTGGGGATACCGACGCAGTTGTTACACTCTGCACATCGTCTCATGATGGTGATCACTTTTGCCAAGTTAACTTTTGCCAAGTTATTTTAAAAACTTTTCAGCGGTTTTTCAAAGTAATGGAGCGGACACGAAAGTGTTAAGGACGGACAGACAGACGGGCGGACTGACAAACGGAGGCCATTCCTATAATTCTTCCGCTATGCAAAAAGAGATAAAAACAAACGTGTACGCACCTCTTTTCGGTTTACGTCAAAGAGATAGTTACTGCCACCCCACGGATATGTGACATTCAAAGACAGTCTTGCCGTTCCTGCTACCGGCTTCCCATACACATACCTAAGAATCAACATTTTATTTTTGTAAATCAATAAGGTATCCTTGAACCATTGTTTATGCATACAAATAGTTATGTACGTTAAGTATTTTTACCAAGTTACAAGTGATATTGGTCCTTACAAAGCGTGCGCGTTTGTTGACTGTATCCAGTGATAGTCCTTTCTTAGTAATAATCAATTTAACTTTATCTGCATGTGCCTGTCACAGCTGCTGTTCTTTTATTGTGACGTGCTACAGAAATCGTTTAATGTGCCAAATGATATGCAATAGCTTTTTTTTTCAAATGGCGATCCGAATTTACTTTATGTAACTATCGCATGTAAACAATTGCATACACCTTTGCAAGGATAAATTGTAAGTGTCTGGTAGAGGCAGATATCGCAAACTACACAGAATTTGTCACACTGATACTACACCTAGAGTTTAAAACCACTACAAAACGTATGACTACATGAAAAACATATATACAATATAATCGTGTAGTGTATCACTCGGTGTATTCTGCCGTCTAAACCCCTGAGCCTGCGTCACATTACACTCCGATTAGGTTTACGATGGGGTACCGATGTCTAAACGGGCTGAAATTGCCATTTTTTATAGGTTTCCGGTCGGTGACCCTCCGGTGTCAAGTGACCGGCGGGGCACCGTACGGGTAATCGGAGAATTTTAGTGCAGTTAATTTCTTCGGCATCCGGTACATCGCCAGCTCACCGTAGAAAACACGGAAAAATACTCTCCGATACCCGGCCGGGCACCTTTTGTTATCGGTTACATACCGGTTACAATTTCACCTCCTGGGCGCCAAATATTCCTCTAGATTCCAAGCGGTATCTGAGCGGTATCCAAAGGCGTCTCGGCAGGTTACTGACCGGGACCCGGATCCTAAGGTGTACGCAAGGATAGCATTGGGGTTATTAAACAGACCTTACGGCAGGTAAAGCCTTGAACTGTGAATTAGGCGACCCGTGTTCAATTTTCGGGCGACGGTGAAGGTCACTTTCGTTGTACAGAAGTTATCAGTACCTTGCGAAAGTGAAAGAGATTATTAGTGTTTAACTGCTTGACAGACTGTTCAGGAATGATGCGGTGGCAGAACTATGCTCTGGTATGTATATTCAATTTGGCCTACTGTCATAGTCCTCAATACCACCATCATTCTCTCATTAGCCAACGTGCAGTGCTGAATAGGTAAAATCACTAGACTTGTAATCTGGACATTGTGGGTTCGATTAAGGGTATGACCAACTGAAATAACTAAAAATCTTTCGGACGAGACTTTAAAGCGAGGTCCTGTGTATGAGTGCTTAAACACTTGGATAGGTAAAGAAAAAGGAGAAGATTGTTTGGTCTCATAGTTAAGATCTTGTTTTTCATATTTTGTTTCTGAAATTGGGGCATATTGCTATCTGTATCTTGCGCTGTCATCCAAAATCTAAAACGACTAATACTCTTCAGGAGGACTCGCCTATACGGGCCACCGATGGCGAGTATTAAGAAACTCAATTACACACACATATTCTATCAGTTTTCACACACGTCAGAGGTTTCTTAAAGTTTTCAATTTTCATTTACAATCTTTTATGGAAAACTTTGATTTCAGAGTGTAATATACCTTCCAAAACAGAAAGCAAAGAAGGGATGGGGAAGGAATTAGAGGAGAAGAAGGCAAGGGAAAATGCCAACAAAAGAGGGTGTGTGAGTAATGGTCGGAAAATGGGATAGCATGCCATACGAATACCGTACGACAGCCGACTGGACATCGCAGGTATATTTTACAGTCACCGTACGATTGTTGCAAATAGGCCAGATAACGGAAGGCAATTGGACATTTATCGTACGGTAGTCTGTAAATTACCTTTAGAATATCGACCGGTGTCAGCCAAGAAGATGCCAAAGGTTTTCACCGGGTGACCAGGCGAGTACCCTTCGGAAACCGTCCAAATACCTAATGGACCAAAGAGTGAGAATGGTCGCTCACTTCTTCCCGGATATGATTGAAATGTTTCTCTCCGATCTCAAATTAACAACGGTGTCCCATCGATCCCTCTATACCGCCGGTCCCGGCTTGTAATGTGACGTAGGCATTAATTAAGAACACAATCAGCAAATACTATATACGAGATATCCATTGTCGCCTGATTTGGTAAATGGGAGCAACTGAGAGGGTACATTTGTTCGTCATCGACTGTAACAGCAATAGCATACGTTTTACTTGCTGTAATGCTTAATGTCGCCTTCTTTATGTATTAAGGCGATTTCACTACAGCAACAGGCGGGAGAGGAACATAAATTATATAAACTTTTATCATATGGAAAGAACGTTTACATTATTTGTTTTGTTTTCAAATCAAATAAATAAATAAAGGCAATGATTGTATACACACTTTGCCATAACTGTAATGTCAATCTTGCTTTCCTCAAATTGATTTAACAAAATGTACGGCTGGGATACGTCAATGGTTACACCAAATGTAGGCAATACTGAAAACATTAATTTTAAACTTTATTCACATTAGAGTGCAAAGACTGCATTACTTTAGATATCATCTTTTTGTCATATAAATAGCTGTTACTTATATTTATTTCTAATTTCTATTTTTAAAAATTATTCTCTTACGAGGCGAATTGAAAAAAAAAATATTTGAATAAGTCATGCGTTGTCGGCTGTATATATCATAGTAGTTACATTTTATTCGTATTTTATTAATAGGATACAAGTCATACAGTTACTAATATTTATTTAATATTTTAGTTCCTTTAATTTCAATTTCTGAAACATTTTTAACAGACAGAAAATCCCAGAAACAAAAGAAATGTGTTACTGTTGAAATGTACATAAACTAGACAGAGGTAAGATTAAATCAAAGATTTAATCAAAACAAATGAGATTGCGAGAGAAAATGTATAGTTACAGCAGCTATACACTCACTAAAACCTGAACAAAATAGATTAAATGATAAGAGTTTTCCAAGAAAATAAATTATCTGTGGTTATGCAGAAATGTGTTGGTATCTATAAACTTGGGCTTACCTTATCTAACATTGCTATGTTAAAACTGATATACAAAAGAAAATCGTGGTAATTCTTACCTAGTTTTGATAAAAACGCACTGATAAATAATGATCGTGATTAGAATTTGACGGATGTGTTTCGATAGCAATACAAAATATAAAGCTAACTTAATAGAATAAATGGCAAAAAATATTAAAAATTAATCGATATCATTTGAGCATCTAACGTCGGCTCAATGAACGACAAATTAGACTATTTATGAAAAATAAATATTGAACTCGCAGAATTGTATAAAACATAAATACTATAAAACAAAGCTCAAATTATATAATTACCGTATTCCTCAATTTGAAATAAAGATCTTCCCACTGTTTCAAACTAAAATGAAGAGAAAAAAAACGAAACATATACATAAAAAAAATTCATTTCATGGGCCCCACAGATTAAGGGCGCAGCTAGCAGCGACTTGGGTTTCTTCATAGCGAAGCAGAAGCGACAGGAGTACACATATTATTGTCTTAATAATCAATCATTTATCTATATGATATTCTGTGCGCGTTTTATAAAATTAACTCTTTATCTGCTTACAAAAGATTTTTATTGGATACACTATCATCGTAACGGAAAAAATAGTGTGTTTATGCAATTAATTTTTCATAACTATAAACTACGGTCGACGATATCAAAAGAGTCGTTTCATTTTGAATATTTACCACGTCCATGACGACAATATATATTATACACTATATCGGTATATAAACGTGTTGAATTGGATAACACTTTTCACAAATAAATAAGACAGGTTTGTTGAATTGAATACCACTTTTCTTAAACACTGCTGTAATTGCGATATCTCGCGGAAACTGCTATCACGTTTCCATAGATAAAAACATCTTAAACTTGTTTAAATGAACATAGCATTCCCAAAGCGATTAATGATAAATAAGTGCAATACGACATTATCTGTGTGTATATATAGCCTTACTATGTATCACTTTGGGAAACGTAAAATCTCTTTTATATTCATTTAGGCTTAATATGTAGACTTCCGGAGCGGATGTGACGTTGGCCAAGACAAATCACAGAACATTTTCGAGAGAATAATGCAGATGGGAAATAGAACTGTTACATAAGATAGTCCCTTAAATACCCAGGTCAGCATGACAGCATTTGCACGATTTTTTGCAAACTCTGAGAAGAACAATGAAAGCACTGAAATGCGATATCATCGGGATGAAAGCAGACTCACATTCGAGCCAATCAGCGATTGTTCCTCGGAAGAACTGAACCTGGTCCGTTCATATTTTAATACCTGTCTGGAAGAGGTGCAAGAGAGAGGGAGAAATTTAGGTTTGCTTGATACTGACGACTTTTTCTTCGATTATGAGAAGACAGGTCATGAAATTTTGCCGAAACTTGCTCAGTTGACAAACAAAGTGTAACGGTCTCAGCCAAAAGAGGAAAACTCTACAAGTTAGAAAAAATAAACATCTAAAAACGTTGAAAATCTCCAGATAACAAGTGTGAACGAACAATTATGATGACATCTCAAGCGGGATACAAAATCGTTTGATTCGCAAATCATCGCTCACAATATTTTTCAAGAGCAAGAGGGGAGGGGCGTTAAACCGCCTCCCACCAATCGTTGGAGAAGAAGAGCAGTTACTATCCAATTTAAAACCAACCATTAATGAAAGAGGACAAAAAAAACATTTTAACATTGGAAAATATGGTAGATAATACTTGATAGGTGAAAACGCGGAAAAATATCAATGTGAAAACAATTACCTCTTTGTCATGTTTTAGTTCCTGTATTTAAAATATTAGACAGAGCTTAAAACTTAAATAAGAAGTGAAAAATTAGAATCTGAGAGAAAAAAACTAAAAAGGAAAGTTCGTTTCCGGAACTCCTATAGATTAATAAAAAAAAATTAAATGTGTAAACCATTTCAGAAAGATCAATTATATTATTTTTCATTTTTTACAATGGCCAATGAGATTCACATAATTCGGTTTATAATTAATTTTCAAATGACAAATGACAATTTTACTTATATTTAATTATTTCCTGTATTTTTTGCAGAAAGTCAAGCCGGTTTTAGACGGACTTCGCTCAGTGCAACAGCAGTTTATCAAACATAGCATTAGGATCATACATACATTACAATGTGTATTTCAATTTAATTATTTCATACTAAAATTTTTAACTATAAGGAAAACGATATAGTTTTTGTTTCTAGTTTCTTGAAATAACGCATACAAATCATATCACTTTTTTCTAAACATTTTTATAATAACCTGTCCACCGTAGAATGCACGAGCTGTCCATGTACCAATTTCAGGGTTAGATGGTAAAGAAAAATCAGTTTGGTAAAACCCACTGGAACTTGAGCTTGTAAATGTTCTTCTTCCCAAAGTCAGGTTTGACGGGCTCTGTAAATGTACACACATATTTTGCAAAGCATGATAAAAAACATAACGAACATATTCATATCAATGTACATGCGTCTCGTTTGACTTTTACAACTGAAAACAAAAGTTATTATATATTATTGTAGATGGTTGTAAATGACTTGTTTAAAATTCTATTTCAGTTATCTAGTAACAAAAACAAGAGATTTTACATACGAAGTCAATGTTTTGGGGCGCTTTTTGGGTACGAGAAAGAAATGAAAAGAAGAGCATGATGTCAGCCAATAACAATTCGAGAATGACGTTATAATGATGTTATGTTCTTAAAAAGTAAAAAAAATAATAAGAACTTTTGTTTGAAGGATAATGTTTATGAAATGCATTAGAAAAGTATGTGAGAAGTAAGCAGTTAACAGTGAGCTAAGCGAAAAGGCATTTCAATTTATATAGGGAAGTCAATGATCTGCTGTAATGCTCAGCTGTTTTGGGCATCTAGCAGGGCATTCCTAAATATAGCGTAAAAATGCTCTGCTGCAATTCTCAGCTGTCTTGGCAAACTAGCAGAGCATTCCTAGCTATAGTGAAAAAAGATATGCTCTGCTGAAACGCTCGGCTGACTAGCAATCTAGCAGTGCATTACTAAATATAGTGTTAAAATGCTCTGCTGGAATGCTCAGCTGGCTAGCTAAGCTGGCTAGGCAATCTAGCAGGGCGTTACTTAATATAGTGTAAAAATGCTCTGCTGGAATGCTAAGCTGGCTAGGCAATCTAGCAGGGCGTTACTAAATATAGTGTAAAAATGTTCTACTGGAATGCTAAGCTTGCTAGGCAATCTAGCAGGGCATTACTAAATATAGTGTAAAAATGCTCTGCTGGATTGCTAAGCTGGCTAGGCAATCTAGCAGGGCGTTACTAAATATCGTTTAAAGATGCATTACTTAATATAGTGCTGGAATGCTAACCTGGCTAGGCAATCTAGCTGGGCATTACTAAATATAGTGTACAAATGCTCTACTGGAATGCTAAAATGGCTGGGCAATCTAGCAGGGCATCACTTAATATAGTGTAAAAATGCTCTACTGGAATGCTAAGCTGGCTAGGCAATCTAGCAGGGCATTACTAAATTAAGTGTAAAAATGCTCTGCTGAAATGTTAAGCTAGCTAGGCAATCTAGCAGGGCATTACTAAATATAATGTAATCAATGCTCTGCTGGAATGCTAAGCTGGCTAGGTAATCTAGCAGGGCGTTACTAAATATAGTGTAAGGATACATGCTGGAATGCTAAGCTGGCTAGGCAATCTAGCAGGGCATTACTAAATATAGTATAAAAATGCTCTGCTGAAATGCTAAGCTGGCTAGGCAATCTAGCAGGACATTCTTAATATAGTGTAAAAATGCTCTGCTGGAATGCTTAGCTGGCTAAGAAATAACACAGGGCATTCCTAAATAGAATGTATAGTGTAAAAATGCTCTGCTGCTATGCTGAGCTGGCAAAGCAATAAAGCGGGACATACTTAAATATAGTATTAAGTTTGCGTTATATTCCGAGCTGGCAGAATATTTTGAAAAATAGTGTGAAAATGCTGATAAGCAATATTGCGGTGCATTCTGAATTATAGTAATTATATGCTCTGCTGGAATGGTCAGCTTGCAAGAGTTTTATTGTTGCCAATGTTTTATTGACATTTTCGACTTGTAGGCACTCCAGAGGCACTCGCAAACTTTTAGATATTTTTGGTGCCAATAGAAATAATGATATTTTTTACTTCTAGGGACCTTAAATAAACTATTTCATTGTCCTGCGACTTTCTTATGGACACTCACAGACTTTCAGGAATTTTTGTGTCAATGCTGATATTGACAATTTAGACTTCTAGGGACCCTCAAGAGTCCATTTTTTGATCTGCGACTGATTCTGGGACACTCGCAGACATTCATGAATGGTTGGTGCCAATAGTAATAATCATATTTTTTAATTATAGGGACCTTTAAAAGTCCATTTCATTGGCCTGAGGCGTATTGTTGGACACTCGCAGACTTTCAGGAAAGTTTGTTGCCAATGGAGATGATGGCAATTTTTACCTCTAGGGACCCGCCAGAGTCCATTTTTCTGGTCTACAACTGATTCTGGAACACTCGCAGATTTTTAGAAATCTGTGGTGTCAATGGAAATAATGACATGTTTTACTTCTAGCGACCCACCAGAGTTCATTTCGCTGGTCTGTGACTGATTTTGGGACACTTGCAGACTTTAAGGTACTTTTGATGCCAATGGAGATAAGGACATTTCTGAATTCCAGGGAACTACCTGAGAACATTTCTTTTGTCTGCGACTGATTCTTTAAGACTCGCAGACCTTCGGGATGTTTGGTGCCATTGCAGATCATGGCATTTTTTTAATTTTAAGGACCCCTTAGTCTGAAGCAGAGCATTTTTACTCTAAAATGTCATTATCTGCATTAGCACCAAAATTCCTGAAAGTCTGAAAGTGTCAAATAATCAGTCGCAGACCAACAAAATAGACTCTGGATGGTCAAAAGATGTCAAAAATGTACTTACAAAAAAATATATCTCTAATGGCACCAAAAATTCCTGAAAGTCTGCGACTGTCCAAGAATAAGTCGCAGACCAAACAAATGGACCCTGAAATGTCCCTAGAAGTAAAATGTCATTATCTGCCTTGATATTAAAAAAATCCTGAAAGTCTGTGAGTGCCTAAGAATCAGTCGCAGACCAAAAACAATGGACTCAGGGACGTCCAAATAAGTAAGAAATATAATTATCTGTATAACTCCTGAAAGACTGCGAGTGACTCAGAATCAGTCGCAGACCAACGAAATAGACTCAGTGGACTCAGGATGGTCCTTAGATTTCACAAATGTCATTATCTGCATTAACACCAAAAATTCTTGAAAGTCTGCAATTGTCCCGGAATCAGTCGCAGACCAAAGAAATTGACACTTGAGGGTCCCATAGAAGTCAAAAAATGTCATTATCTGTATTGGCACTAAATATTTCAGAAAGTCTACAAGAGCCAAATAATCAGTTGCAGACCAACGAAAAGGACTTCTGAGGGTTACTAGAACCAAAAATAAGCTATAAATCCATTTGTACCAAACTCCTTGAAGTCTTCGAGGATGACAGTCCAAGGCGCAGACAAAGATTAGTGAAATAGATCTCTCAACAAAAATAAAATTTTCAGGCATAAGGATTACAAGTGGATGCAAAAGGAGTAAAAGAGAAAAAGTATTTACTCTGTATTTAAGAATGCCCTGCTAGATTGCTCTGCCAGTTCGGCATTTCAGCACAAAAAATACTTTATCTAATAATGCCCTGCAAGTTTGCCAAGACAGCTCAGCATTTGGTGGAACATTTTTACAATGATTTTCAGAATGCTCTGCTTGATTTCCTAGCCAGCTGAGCATTTTTAACACTTAATTTAGGAATGCCCTGCTAGATTGCTTAACCAGCTGAGCATACCAGCAGAGCATTTTAACGCTATATTTTGTAACGCCCCACTAGATTGCTTAGCCAGCTGAGCTTACCAGCAGAGCAATTTTACACTTTATTTAGGAATGCTCTGCTAGATTGCTTTGCCAGCTGAACATACCAGTAGAGCATTTTTACGCTATATTAAGGAATGCTCTGCTGGATTGCCTAGCCAGCTGAGCATTTTAACACTATTTTTAGGAATGCCCTGCTAGAATACTTAGCCAGCGGAGCATACCAGCAGGTCATTTTTACACTATATTTTGGAATACCCTTTTGATTGCTTAGCCAGCTGAGCATAACAGCAGAGCATTTTTACACTATATTTTGAAATGCCCCGCTAGATTGCTTAGCCAGCAGCTGAGCATAACAGCAGAACATTTTTACACTATATTTTGGGATGTTCCGCTAGATTGCCTAGCAAGCTGAGCATAACAGCAGAGCATTTGTACACTATATGTAGGAATGCCCTGCTAGATTGCCTAGCCAGCTGAGCATACCAGCACTATATTTTGGAATGTCCCGGTCGATTGCCTAAGCCAGCTGAGCATACCAACAGAGCATTTTTCGCACTATATTTTAGAATGCCCCGCTAGATTGCTTAGCCAGTTGAGCATACCAGTAGAGCATTTTTACGCCGCTATATTTTGGAATGCTCCGCTAGATTGCTTAGCAAGCTGAGCATACCAGCAGAGCATTTTTACACTTTATTTTGGAAAGTCCCGCTAGATTGCTTAGCCAGCTGAGCATACCAGCGGAGCATTTTAACACTATATTACGGAATGCCCTGCTATATTGCTTAGCCAGCTGAGCATACCAGCAAAGCATTTCTACAGTTTATTTTGGAATGCTCTGCTAGATTGCTTACCCAGCTGAACATAACAGCAGATCATTGATTTCCCTATATAAATCGTAATGCCTTTTTGCTTAGCTCACTGTTAACTGCAAACTTCTCACATATATGAGAAAATAAGTTTTCAAAAACTTATTGACAAAACATACAGTTAATTAGCTAATAAGTAACGAATAATTCAGTGTCAATAAGAGATCAGGAAATCAGATATTGTTAATATAAAATAATCATTCATTTTCTAAATGTTTTCAGGTGAATCAATACAATAATATTCAATTTTATAAGTGTTTTGTTTTTTTATTAAACTCAGCCTCCACATCTCAATATGCTTTTTAAAGAGCCATTGAGTTTTGTTGTATGCACATATGCACCGCGATTATTGCTTGTCTTAGCATCTTTTTGTTTCGTTGGACAAGCTTAATGCTAGTTAGCTTGCCGATATCAACTACTTACTTCAATTCATTACAATATGTTCTGAAGCTTTGAAGTCCTGTTATTTAACTTTATATTCATTCATGACATTAACTTACCACGATGTCCATGTTTATTTGCCATTGATCACCCGACACCTTCTTCAGTGATTCATCTAGAGCTAAAACTTTTATCTTCACTAGAAGATAAAACAATAAAACAAATAGTCATAAAAAGGGAACCCAGACATTGCGGTTTAAGTGTGTGTCGCTTAACCCAGCGCGCTTCTCAGGTAACAGTCATGCTCATTCCTATGATAATCTGTCTTCAATAGGAAAAGTTTCAGAATTAAATTCATTGGTTGCATGTTCGATCATGTTACTTTTGTTATAATAAAAAAGAATATTGACAATAAACAGGAAAAGATAGACTAAGACATATTGAATATCGAATTGAATCCGGAGTATAATTATTATGACTGATAAACTGCTCCTTGTCTTTTCAACAAAACTTCCTATATAAAATTACCCTAAAACTTTCAAGATCTAAATGATAACTTGTGCATCAAAAGGTACTGATAATTATGATAATAAAACAGAGAAGTTTTTTTTCCAACCGACTCCATATAATTGAATCTATTATGTTTTAAAAGATTTTTTCGTGTGTTATATGATGAGTTTTAAAGTCATTTAGAATGCACTCGAAAGAGTCTTGTGGGCAGAATTATAAAAAAATGTATTTATTTGACAAATTAAATGTTGTTTCAAATCGGTAAATGGTAACATATTAATTTTTGACCTCATTTGACTTGAATAGTCTTAATGTTTAACGTTACAGAAAAAATATAATTCGTCAAGGATTGTGGAATATAAAATTAAGCTTCAAATGTGAATGATTTTCTAGTAAATATACGTCGTACATATCAAAATTCCAAGGTACCTAAGTCATGCAATTTTGTATTAATTTGACATCGCCGAGCTTTCTGATTTCTTGTTTTCAGCTTTTACCTTGCATACGCCAACATGTGATACAATGATTTCTTTAATGGGTTTTTGCCAGAGCAAAACGGCGACATCTTGTATTTTAAACTCTTGGCTAGTGCTTTTGCCCCAGAAAAAAGCTCATACAATACGATCATACATGTTTATCTGAATATTAATGTACAAACATTAGGTAACATATCGTATTTATTTATGATAGAAACGTACCATTCGTACCACATTTATATACAGGACTCACCTTTTTGTAGTGGAGTGTATATAGGTTTGTCCGTCTGTAAGATCAAATAGCCAGTCTTGTAGCTGAGTACTATGTCATTGCATATTTGATACTCGTATCCACGTCGTGAGCATAACCTAATTACTCTGGCTTTTTCATCTATATCAGCGTTGAAAATATCCGACTCTGTTACCCTTATCGTTGTGCTAACGGGGGTTTCTGAATTGATTATATAATTATAATAGAAACACTCGCAAATAACGTAGAGCAGACCCTAAACACAAAATGCAATCCACAAACAGCAGATCTCATTTATATCCATGTTGTTTGCTTTTTCTTAATAGGAATAGAAAAATAATGCCATAGAATAAAAATTAATCTTGTTTTGTTTAATTTATTTTCTAACGGGCTCGAATTTAAATTACATCCTTGTACTTCTGTAGATATCAATTCACAACAATTACATGAACTGTCCAAACTATTTTCTCAAACATTAAACAACCAGGGTGAGTATTTATTCTTATTATCATATCCTTTATTTCTCTCTCCTAATAAAACATTATTATAAGGAATTAAAATCGTAAATAAATAGCTTCCGTTTTATAATAGCAACTTAGACTTTCTGAAAAATAAGTGATCTGAAGAAAAATTTGAACACAACCTTTTATAGTGAAGTATCAACTATGTACAAAGAGTTATTTTAATTATTTGCAATCCCAGCTAGGATCTTCATATGCACTTGCTTTATTCTAAATTTCTCATTTTGAACTTATGTTATCTTCCGGAAACAATTTTCTGTTTTTAGTATCGGTGACCTTGACCTAATGGGGCACAAAAGCAATCCTATATAAACTGGCTTTATACCAAGTTTGATTACAATATCACATTCCTTACTCTTGTTATTATCCAAAAACCAATTTTCTTTTTTAAGAAAACTTTTTCCCCTTAAAACCCTTGACCCCAGGGGGCCCGGGAAAGCAATCTTAAGCAGGGGTTTTTTTTTTTCCCGTTAATTAAACTTTTTACCCTTTTTTTTAACCAATTTTGATTACAACTAAAATTCCCCCCCGCATTTTCTTTTTTAAAGGCGTTTAACCCAAGGGGTTAAAAATTTTCCAAACCAGGTTTTTTTTTTTTTTTTTTTTTTTTTTTTTTTTTTTTTTTTTTTTTTTTTTTTTTTTTTTTCCGGGAAATATTTTTTTTTTTTAGTTACGGTTACCAATGACATTCCCCCAGGGGGGGGGCCCCCCATGCAATATTATCAAAGCCCTTTTAAATTTTACGCTTTTTTATGTCAATTTTGTTTTTAAATATTTTGTTTTTCAAACTCAAATTTTTTGTCCAGAAACCATTTTCTATTTTTAGTAACAGTTACCGAGACCTTGACCCCAGACTGTCCAAAGGCAACACCGTCCGTGCTCTTTATATAAGCTTGCTATAAACCAAGTTTGATAACGATATATCATTCTTAAATCTAGTTATTGTTTGGAAACCATTTTTCTATTTTTTAGTAAAGGTGACCTTGACCTTGACCCCAGGGGGAGCCAAATGCAATACTAACCGGGGTTTCCTCATAAGGTTGCTATATACCAAGTTGATAACAACATCTCATTCCAAACTCTAGTTATGGGCAGAATACCATGATGTGGTCCGACCGACAAGCTGACTTCTTTATACCCCCTGAAATCGTTTGTGGGGTATAATAATATAAGAATCTTACACCAGCTGTCGGCACAGACCGGAATATTTAGCTCGAGGTTAACTGCTGACGGCGGGCGGTAACTAGACTAGACTGTCGAGTTTCTGCTATACTGTTACCCGAGAGCTAGATATTCCTGTCACAGCTGGTGTTTGTTTTTTCTTGCATATTACAAATTGATAACGAAAAGATATTACGAATATTTTCATTCAGCATTTTTTTCTTATAATAGCGTATGATTTTAAAACTTTATTCATTACGGCACAATGACGTCATCTTAAATACGCAAGTCATTCATAAAAGAAGCGCTGGAATGACATCATTTAAAACACACGACTTAACTTACATGGGGTGTAAGACTATAAGAATCTTACACCGGCCGCCGGTACAGACCGGAATATCTATCTCGAGGGTAACTGTTTACGACGGTAACGAGGCTCTGCTAAGTTTCCGCTAAACAGTTACCCGAGAGTTAGATATTCCCATCTGTACTGCTTTTTCTTGCATATTACATGTCAAATATTTTCGGAACAGAAATTATCAGAACTGATATTCTCATTAGGCACTTTTTCTTGTAGTAACGTTTGAACTTACAATTTCATTCATAGCGGAAAATTGACGTCATCCTAAGAATGCAATTCATTCATAAAAGGCACGCGGCAATGACGTCATTTAAAGCACGCGACTTAACTTTCCGCTAAACAGTCACCCGAGAGCTAGATATTCCCGTCTGCACCGACAGTCGGTGTTTGATTCTTTTTCTTGCAAATTACATATCAATTATTTTCAGAACATAAACTACGAAAACTGATATTCTCATCATGCTTTTTTTTGTTAAAGTAGCGTATGAACTTACAACTTCATTCATAACGGTTAAGTGACGTCATCCTAAGAACGCAATTCATTTATGTGCGCAGCAATGACGTCATTTAAAGCACGCGACTTGTCTTACATGGGGGGTGCAAGACAGGGTTTTCTAGCACCGGTGTAAACGGTTAATAATCCTGTCTCATATGCATGAAAGAGTTTTCTAACACCAGTGTAAACGGTAGATAATCCTCTCAGGGTTTTCTAGTGCCGATATTAACAGTAAATTCTTTCTTGCATATCAGACAGGGTAATCTACCGTTTACACCGATGCTAGAAAACTCTTACACTCCCCCCCCCCCCATGTTAGACAAGTCGTGTGCTTTAAACGATGTCATTGCCTCGCGCCTTTTATGAATGAATTGCGTTCTTATGATGACGTCATTTTACAGTTATTTAATGAAGTTGTAACACATAAGAAAGTGAGTAACTAATGAAAATATCAGTTTTCGTAATTTCTGTTCTAAAAGTAATTGATATGTAATATGTAAAAAAAAAGAATCAAACACTGGCTGTCGGTACATATGACAATATCTAGCTCTCGGGTAACTGTTTAGCGGAAACCCGACAGGACCTCGATACCGCCGTAAACAGTAACTGTTATCCTCGGGTCTGTACCGGCAGCCAGTGTTAGATTCTTATAGTCTGATATGCAAGAAAGGGTTTCCTAGCGCCGATGTAAACAGTAGATAATCCTGTCTGATATGCAAGAATTGTATACGTTTAAGGATCTATTTTAAATAAAGTTATTCACTTACCCTCATCTGGAACTGTCACAGTTTTCCTAGAAAATTGTTTACCCCGATACTCTAGCCAAACCTTAATTACAAAATATATAATATATCATAATTAAGCGCATATGAACATTACTAAACAAGATATTCGTGAAATAACTCAGTAAATATTAGTTTCCTTGGTACACGTTGTATACAAATCGCTCTTAAAAGATGATAAATCTGATACATTTTTTAATCCCATTTCCCAAACATTTAGATCTTATTAAAGTTGTAATACCATTATAAACATATTTCTGTTGCTTTTGCGTGTTACAATATCATCATTTCAATTAAATTGGTGTTGTTTAAGCAAGTTCGTCAGTATTTAAAAATTAAGTGAGTTTCTTCTAAAAGAAATATTCATTTCTTGTCATGTTCCTTTTTATGAAATTATTTTTGGCAAATACAATATCAGAAATTGTCTATGAATTCCAAAATCGTCAAGGAAAACTTATACCGTTAGCAAATGACAAACTATGTGGTCCGTTGACAAAGATGTCAAAAACTTAGAAAAGAGGCATAAGTACATGTAGTATAGCAGGCAAAAGAAACATATACTTACCGATACCGGTACATTCCGCCTGTTGCCAAATATATTGACCAGCAATGTCTCTTGGTGATTAAACCTTATCAAGTTTGGTGCAATCACAAAATAATAATCCTTAGCACTGAAATGAAAATATGTAATCAAAGTAGCTAGAATTTGAATTTTTCCATGTTTTAGAGGTGCTTTATGACATGCTTTTCCAATCATTGCCATTTACCTACACACCTACCCACCCACAAATTATGAAGCAAGTGTTTACATATATGTAAAAGTCTAAACCAATGCAAAACATTGTATTATGTAAGGTTGACCTTATTGCGATAGCTTCCGCATCTTGACGTTGTCTAACCAGTCTCTATGCATCTTAGCTAGAGATTCTCTTTTCTCATTTATTCATCTTATCATCTCTTTCATTTAGTAATTATATATTTGTACCGTATTTGTTATTTCTTGTTGTACTTGTCAATCATGATTGGATTTCTGACCATAGAAGTCACGGCCTTATTCAACTTAAACCTGTCTTGGTTATTATTTTAGCATTATTAAGAGAAGCAAGCTGCTGGCAGTACTTGCATCAATTTTATATCAAACCTTTGCTCATTTTAGCATTGTCAAGTCAAATCTGATTACATGTTGTTTCTTATTGATAATAAGCAGAAACTGGCTGGTTTGCAAAACGTAATCTTTATTACACTCCATTTACTATAATAGTACATTTCCATGTAAAGACTAAATGCTAGATAGTTTTTTTTTCTTAAATAAATATTCTTCAAGTTACTCTATTGTATAGCTTTTTATAAACTACATGCATTACAAAAATTGTATTGAATCTTGGTACAAACATTATATCATCATGTGTGGTATTAGCTGGAAACTATTATTATGGCCATTGGATCCAAATATTTTATTTTGCTGTTAATATAAGTAAACAATTTTCTGAATCATTCTTCCTCCCACAAAAAAAGTAACATTGCCTTAAGATCTCATTACATTTTCTAGTAAACAATTTATTTTACACAAGTGCTTACTAAGTTTATTTCACACAATCTTCGTGTTAAAATGTATTTAAAACTAAGTTTATTTTACACAATCTTCATGTTAAAATCCTTGAACGAACTCTGTTATAACTTTTCTCCAAAATAATGAGACACGATCTTGTAAGATTACGCACGCACATAAAAAATATCGGAAAACACATAAAAAAACGAACTTGTCAGATACCCACAATTTATGATGTTTAATAAGTGTACTATGTGATCATTTTTGTGTTCAGTTTTTATATTGTTTATGATTTGCATATATTTCTGCATAGTAATTTACTATTTATAAGTGTAATTACCTACCGTCTTGTTAAAACACTGAGATTACTTACCGAAATACGACAGGTTAATTGAGGAACACATACATCTTACAGTGTTCTATTGTTTTCAAAATAAATAACCCCATTGATTATTCTGTCAAATGTGACAAAAGTATATTTCATAAGAAGGGCTATTTATGATTTTCTTATTTTCATTTTTTTGTTTAGTTTTTCCCTCTGTACGCGTTGCAAATCCATGAATTGATGATATGCCAACAAATCGCTACCTTTTCAATTATCGTTTTAGTTAAACCTTAATTGTTAAAGAAATTCCTGTTAGCTCTAATTTTAAAGAATGACATTAATTAAATTTTAGAATTTAAAGGGAAACAATTGACACTGGGAGTAAAAATTAACTGTTACAGTAACGAAATAATTGAGTACAAAATAAATTGTCCTGTTTGTTGGCTGCAGGCCCCCAAAAGTTCATACAATGTGGTGGGTTTGGTTATTAATCACTTTTAAGTATATCTCTTGTTATTACAATTGTTGTTATGCCTCCACAAAGTGGGGAGCATATAGCGTTGCACTTGTCCGTCCGTACGTTTGTCCGTCCGTACGTCTGTCCGAGCAAACATTTTGGGTTTATGGGCTATATAACAGTAAAGAGAACAAAAGAGAACAATAGGTTTATTCCGTGATCAAAGGGTTTATGGGCTAGTAGCCCTTAACCCATTACTTCATATACACGCCTTTTAACGCCTTTTTCACCCCCCCCCCCCTTTTTGTTGTCTCAAATGATGAAAAAATGCCTTATTTAGGCCCTAAACACTTGTTTTTGTTTAAGAAATGTTGTTAAAAAAATTGACCTCTTTTTCGGCGCGGCCCGCCAGGCAAAAGATACATCAGGGGGTTGCCAGAAGGGGGATGTGCCCCCTTCTGTTTTGGGGGGTTTGAAGGGGGGCGGAGTCCCCCTCATCGCCAAGAAAATTTTGGACTTGTGAGAGGCTGTAAATGACCCCAGATTGATCATAAGGTAACGTGTAACCAACGCTGAAAAGCATTTGACTCTATCTCAATCCATTGATAAGTTGCAGCACTTTGAAATCAATTTTGATGGAAAAAATCAGCGCAAATTAGTGATTTTTGGCAATTTTGAGATGTCCCCTCGTTGCCATGGTAACAGAAAATTTAAGTCTGAGCATGTTGTTGCAAGGGCAATGGTCCAGTCAACATTTGTGCCAAGTTTTGATTAGTGTTGAAGCAGTTTTTATAGTATTATAGCAATTTGAAGTCGTAACGGGAGACTTTTCAATGAAAACAGCCATTTTTCACAAAATGCTCATGAAGTAATGGGTTAATGAAAAAAATAAAAAAATCTACAAAACAACAATTTTTCTTCAAATTTATATGACAGGCCATGTTTAAACATGAAAAAACGCGATTTAGGGTAATTTCAAGTATTTTCATCATTTTCAGTTAACCCATTACTTCATATACACGCCTTTTAACGCCTTTTTCACCCCCCCCCCTTTTTGTTGTCTCAAATGATGAAAAAATGCCTTATTTAGGCCCTAAACACTTGTTTTTGTTTAAGAAATGTTGTTAAAAAAATTGACCTCTTTTTCGGCGCGGCCCGCCAGGCAAAAGATACATCAGGGGGTTGCCAGAAGGGGGATGTGCCCCCTTCTGTTTTGGGGGGTTTGAAGGGGGGCGGAGTCCCCCTCATCGCCAAGAAAATTTTGGACTTGTGAGAGGCTGTAAATGACCCCAGATTGATCATAAGGTAACGTGTAACCAACGCTGAAAAGCATTTGACTCTATCTCAATCCATTGATAAGTTGCAGCACTTTGAAATCAATTTTGATGGAAAAAATCAACGCAAAATAGTGATTTTTGGCAATTTTGAGATGTCCCCTCGTTGCCATGGTAACAGAAAATTTAAGTCTGAGCATGTTGTTGCAAGGACAATGGTCCAGTCAACATTTGTGCCAAGTTTGATTAGTGTTGAAGCAGTTTTTATAGTATTTTAGCAATTTGAACTTGTAACGGGAGACTTTTCAATGAAAACAGCCATTTTTCACAAAATGCTCATGAAGCAATGGGTTAATGAAAAAAATCAAAAAATCTACAAAACAACAATTTTTCTTCAAATTTATATGACAGGCCATGTTTAAACATGAAAAAACGCGATTTAGGGTAATTTCAAGTATTTTCATCATTTTCAGTTAACCCATTACTTCATATACACGCCTTTTAACGCCTTTTTCACCCCCCCCCCCTTTTTGTTGTCTCAAATGATGAAAAAATGCCTTATTTAGGCCCTAAACACTTGTTTTTGTTTAAGAAATGTTGTTAAAAAAATTGACCTCTTTTTCGGCGCGTCCCCCCAACCAAAAGATACATCAGGGGGTTGCCAGATGGGGGATGTGCCCCCTTCTGTTTTGGGGGGTTTGAAGGGGGGCGGAGTCCCCCTCATCGCCAAGAAAATTTTGGACTTGTGAGAGGCTGTAAATGACCCCAGATTGATCATAAGGTAACGTGTAACCAACGCTGAAAAGCATTTGACTCTATCTCAATCCATTGATAAGTTGCAGCACTTTGAAATCAATTTTGATGGAAAAAATCAACGCAAAATAGTGATTTTTGGCAATTTTGAGATGTCCCCTCGTTGCCATGGTAACAGAAAATTTAAGTCTGAGCATGTTGTTGCAAGGACAATGGTCCAGTCAACATTTGTGCCAAGTTTGATTAGTGTTGAAGCAGTTTTTATAGTATTATAGCAATTTGAACTTGTAACGGGAGACTTTTCAATGAAAACAGCCATTTTTCACAAAATGCTCATGAAGCAATGGGTTAAGAAAACAAAGAAAATAACAAAGAAAATAGCCCCTAAACCCAAAATGTTGGAACGTCCGTACGTCCTGAAATCTTGTGAACGCAACTCCTCTTAAACCGGATGGCAGATTTTGCTTAAACTTCCAGGGATGAACAACCTTAATGTGTAGATGGTAATAAAGGAGGGAATTTTTGCTGCGACCAAATTTAACAGAATTATGGCCCTTTGTTGATTTTTTTCACTATATACCATATATATGTTGTCAGTGGGGGCATCCGTGTCCTTTGGACACAGTTCTAGTTTTTACAGTGTTTTATATGTTTCTTTTTCATAAAATTTGTTTGCATTAAATTAAAGATAAAATGATTATAAGTAGTTTGTTGCATTTATACTATCTTTTATCATTTTATTTATATTGCAATATTTCATAATTATGTGGGGTTTTTTTTATAATACTGTTAATATTGTACATGATAGAAATATAATATCAAATGTGAAAGAAATTAATAGGTACACCTAGATAAATACTTTTGTAAAATAGAAGTTGTCCTAATTTGATGAGTGATCAGTAATTACTATGTTTACAAAATGTTGGGATTTTTTTCTTAGCTACAAGAAATTAATTATTTCGTTGTAATGCAAGTATTGCTGATACCTGCATATGTATCGAAGAATTAGTCATAACATATGTAAGTTTTCCTTCGGTCGAATATCGTTTTAAAGTTACTTCTTGTTAGATTTCATATTTTTTATTATAACCTAGTTTAAATCTACATGTTAACGACTCATTGTTTATTTTATGGAACTTTGTGGACAGTTTTGAATATGATATAAATTTCTTTTGAAAGACCCTGTTCTATCTTAATTCTATGGAGCATTTTAATTGATAACTTATAAGAAATATATAAATATGTGTGTGTGTGCGTGTGTGCGTGCGCGTTTGATTTTTTTCTCACTTCCACTTGTATAACTATTCTTATGAAACTATCCGGAATGTATGTATTATAAAGTTTGACTTTGTGGGAAGGGCTGTTGCAAATGTTGTAATAACTTGTAGCCCAATCCATTTGCACTATACTTATATGTACATTTGTTTTTGTTGTTTTTTGTATGTTATTCATATCTTACATGTATTATATAGTTGCAATAAAATATTATTAAACTAAATATGATTTTATAAAAAAGTTCTGTTGGCTACTGTTTGGACCAATGAGATTGCAGCTATATTTAGATCATATAATAATGGCAATTACATGTGTGTAAATGTGTAACTTTGTATAATATTGTAATTTTATGATTTCGTAATTTGTTTTTGCGGATAAATGTTGTGACCGTTATAAAGTTTTTATTGGTTATTCATTTTGCTACTCTTTTGGACCGTAATAATACATGTATAATTTAATAGCTTAACACATTAGTTATATCCTCATTGAAAATGAACCACATTCATTCATGTATAAGAAAGAAGGCAAATACATGTAATTATATTGATTAACTATACGTTATATTCGATTACTATGCATTTCTTATGAAACTGTAAATAATAAAAGGTTGTATGCAATGTAACAAACTTTTAAGGAGTGATTTCTGTACCTGTTAATTTTACTTTACTTTACCAGACATATAATCAATATATAGAACTGATGAAGAAAAGTTAGCAAACATCGTAAAAACAATAAACAAAAAAGCATACATATTTACAATGTAGCCCGGTAGGGGTCGGTAATTTGCTTATCTATTGCATTATTAATAGCATTGGATAAGCATTGATTACTTGATCTGGGGAAAATAATATATTTCGAACTAAATTCTCAGTTTAAACAACGGGATATTTAAAATAGTGCACCAATTAATGTTAACAATCACAGCGCAGACTCACCAGGTATCAGGCACGCATGCATAGTGGAGTACTAGTAGTTTAAGCCATGCATTTTTCCCGACAATTTTGGACATTAATAAAAACTTATATATCCTTAAAAACTCCTTTATATTTTCTTAAATTAAGAGCATACATTTCGGTATTACCCTTGTGAGATACAATACATGATTTAAATAACAACATAAAGAAAAGTGACAGATTATTGAGTCTTAAAGATCCTGTATGTTTTATGATTGATATTGTTACTGTATGAATACCACACTTGCAAAAATTTTTATATGTATATAATTATGCAAATAAAACAATTTTCAAACATCAAAGAATATGTAAAATGTGTACTGCAAATATTTGTGCACATTATATTTAATCAATAAATTACATGCATTCATTTCTTATAGAAAATTTTGACTTAGAATTTTTCTGATTACCTCCCTTTATTTACATGAAATTATGTAAATAATGCTTATTTGAACTTACAATATTGACAAATCTTAATTTCAGCATCATATTTATGAAATAAAACCATGAAAAAATTGTGTTACAGGAGCTTTAAAGGTCAAAGAAAAAATACAAACCTTTCGCAGAAAGCGAAAACGCTTCCAACGAGCAAACACAATTTAAGCCATTCCATTTCAGAATTATCCAGTCGAATGTTTATCAGATTTCTAAGTCACTCTGTTAACATAATTTTCCGTTTTCAAAGCCTGGAAAACTACCAGGATATATAACAGGATATTTGTTGAAACAGAAACAAGACATAAGATTATACAATGATAAGAAATTCAGAGAATTAACCGAGATTTACTATCTTAAATGAGGTTATTTATTTGAAACCATGAAAACGTTTTATATGCCGGAGCATGCTGCTGTACTATGCTATACTGTGCTGTACTGTACTGTGCGTCGATGTGTTGTCAGACTGTGCTGCTGTGCTATGCTGTGTTGCGCTGTGCTGTTCTGTTTTTCCGGACTGTGTTGCTGTGCTTCGCTGCACTGTGTTGTGTTGCCGGACTGTGTTGCTGTGCTTCGCTGCACTGTGTTGTGTTGGTTTGTGTTGACGGACTGTGCTGCTGTACTGTACTGTGCTTTAATGTGTTGTTCTGTGCTGTGTTGTTCTGAGCTGCACTTAATTATATAAATAATTTACCTTAAAATACTTTTAAATGGTCAATCTTTTGTATATTTATACAACAACAACAAAAACGATACATTTTATTTATTTGACCAGTTACAGATCAACATCATACAAATAACATTAACATAATGTTTCGTGAAAGTAGAAGTATGAAAAAGTAAAAGGGAAAAAATAAAACAAGATAAAGAAAATACTGGCTATTCTCGCTCCATGAGTGTTTAATGCAGAATGAATATTGTATATAAAAGTTATTTCCATCATAGAGTACATACAGAATTGCAATATAATATAATAGATTTCATTAAGTTCGCCCTTCAACTAAGTTGTATAATTAAATTGTTTTAACTATGCAATAATATATCAAAATGCAAAAAAAAAAACGAAAACAGATTTAACAGGATACGTTACAAAATATACTATCATTAAAATGCTTCATAGATTAATTTTCCAAGATTTAGTAGTTTATGCTTATAAGAGGACAAACTAATATATAAACACATTGTCTATTATAAAAATACGTTTTAATGAAACGTTACATGAAATGTAAATAAATTGGACATATTAACACAAAATGGTTTTAGTCCTCTAAATCATTTTTATCACATAATAAACACACCGTGCCCATGTAATTAAAATTTTCGACAACTTGAGAGGAGTTCGCGTAATGTCAGCGCTTGTCGGGTCTTATAGTTTACGGAAACCCAAACCTTAGTTTTTTCAGTATTGACAATAAGACATAATTTCAACAAGTTAAGCTTGCATTGGTAATCAACGGAAGTATTCATCAGCAAACAATATAATGACTAGCAGGATTTTATCAATATTTAAACTTAAAAATAGAGAAAATAAAACAGGGGAGAGAACCTCGCCTGCTTTAGACCGACCACGCATTCAAAATAATCACAGACAGAGTTATATCCCTTGATACATGTTTAAACAGTCAAAAGCATTTTCTAAGGCGATAAAACCACAATATAATCTACCTTTATCCTTCAAAAATTTTATTTACAACATCATTCAGTGCATCACTGACTATGTTTCACTTATCCATACGCTTATACGTTTGTTAATTACACTCGTAAAGATTTTAGAGAAAAAAAAACAGCTTACTAGAGTGATTCCTCTATAATTGTTTACGTCAGAATGATCGTTTTTCTTAAATTATGGTACTAAAATACCATTTCTTAACTTTGCAGGGAAATGACCAGTCTTAACGTAATATAACATAAAAATATCGACCAGATAACACTTCAAAATATCAACAGTTTGTATAAAATACTCATTTATTAAGTTATCACCCGCACATGATTTAAAGTTTTTAACCAGCGAATTGCAAACTCAACTTCCTGCTGAAAGTCATCAATGGATATTATTGCTACAGTAACTATTCCAACTATAAATAAGTCATGTATATTAAAGCAGATTCAAAATAATAAGGATGATGATATTGATGATGATGATGATGATGATGATGATGATGATGATGATGATGATGATAATAATATTATTATTATTATAATTATTATTGTTATTAGTTTAAACTTATTTCTTGCATATACGATTTTTAATTTTTTATAGATCGGACTACAAAATACAAACATTTTTAACAACCATTCTTATAATCAGAATACACGCGATTGATTTTGACGGAAGCAGTAGGTGCTTATTAAAGTCATTCTCCATGCTGATAAATTACAATAAAAGTAATACATGGCTGGTAGATGTACATTATCATACCACAACCGCCTCTATTGATCGTATATCAAAATACTTTGAAAAATAATACACTAGTCTATGTTTTGTAGTAAGGCACTTAGAATATCAGTAATTAATAAATATTTTAGTATTATATTAACTGAAAAATCTAACAGAAAGAAAGAAGAAAAGGACACCAATGCTTAGAGTTTGTGAAATAAATGATGTTTTTAGAGCACATCCATAGTATATTAAGATCCTGTACGTTGTACTTAAGGCTGTAACCACACTTTACTTTAGTGAAATTTTATATATGTATATAATTATGCTTTTTTTAAACATAGAAGAATATGTAAAATATGTACTGCAAATATTTGTACATATTATATGTAATCAGTAAAATATATGCATATATTTCTTATTGAAAAAAGTGACTTAGATTTTATAGAAAATGAATTTCTAATTACCTCCCTTATCAACATGAAATGTAAATTCGGTAATATCTTTACAAATAATGCTTTTTGGAACTTACAATATTGATAAATCTTCATTTGAACATTATATTTATGATATAAAACCATAAAAATGTACAGGGTACGTTTACGATGGTAACTATAAAAGTGACATTGGAGAAGATAATGATAAATGTGTTCAGGTTTTCCACAATGACAAAGGGGCGATTGGACCGTAGTACGAATGAAAAGGTGGTGATTAAGTTTGCTCACCTTCATGCGAAGTTTAGCACGTAAGATTCCTGTATTCGTGATCAGGTGTAAAAAATAACTAGGTGTACAGTCAGTGACTGGCATAGCTTTACTCTTGAAAGCTTTTAAAGTATGTGCGTTTCTTACGTCTGTTTATCGAGAGACCAGTTTAATTGCTCCCAATAAAAAACGAGCATATTGGTTTGCGATCTGTCAATCATATCCTTTCCAGCCAATTAACAATAATTTCAAATAACATCAGCATATTCTAAAATTGGTCGGATGAGAGAGAAGTATATTCTTTCAATCCAGAGTCATCTTCAATCTGCGCATAAGTAAACCCGTTTCCCTGCTTTATATACTGTTTAGTTAATATGTTCTTGCCAAGACCAGTTATTTGAAAAAATGATACCAAGGTGTTTGTGATGTTCTACTTTCGGTATAATTTGGTGAAGCATATTAAGAGATGGATGGTTCTAGTGACGCAAGTTTCTACTGAGCAATAGGCATTCGGACATTGTAGGATTGAAGTCAACTAACGACATATCGGCCCACCCTGTTATTTTCAGGATATCAGATTAGAGGAGTTCTGCAGCAACATTTGGGTTTTCAACAACAATATATCAAGTGGTATCGTCAGCAAAAAGACGGATATAACTACTATTTGTCTATGATAATGTGAGATTGAAGTTTCGATTTATGTGTACACAAAAGTATTCAACCCTCGACTGAAAGAGTAAAACGGGTATTACATAATCAAATATAACAGTAAGTTCGAACTTAAATGTTAAATGTCAGGGTGGTGAACTTAATAAAGTAGTCGTGATTCATTGACTTCTAATATTTTCTCACAAGTTCGAGTTTCACAAATTGTCTTAAATTGTCTTCTTTTTTAAATATTATATCAGAGGTAAAGCGTCATACATAAGTAAGTTTGTTATATTTTCTGTCTATTAAATATTTATATAATTAAACCGGTAAAAACGTACTGCGTAGGGCAATGCACACGTATTTCGTGCAAACTGATCTAAAGTTACTGCAATGTGTGTACATAAATGCATTGCATTTAATAATTTTATGGTCAGATATGACTGAAAATACATTGATATTTTGATGACAAAAGATAACAAATAATCGGTAAAAAAATTATACATCAAGTTTATAACTGAGAAAATTGTCTCCCTTGTCAAATGTGATATTTCGTTGGAAAGTTGCGTAACTAATTAATACCTCTAAATGTGCTCAAAATTTTTAAATTTTATCATCTTCAGAACACCCGGACTTTTTTTTCACAGTATATAAACGGTTTGAACCCAAACGGATCTTGTGAGAAGATGTCGCTGTCAGCCATTTTCTCCAGCTCAACTTGTTTAATATATTGGTATTTATGTTGATACTTAAGGACGTTAGGTTACTTAATATATATTAATCTCGTAGAAGAGAAACTTTGTTTAATGTTAAAGTTATGCAAAATATAAAAGTAAGCATTAAGGCTATAAAATAATCGAAACTCATGAACTTCTGTCAGGTGATCAACACTGAACACGAACAAAAATATGCCTTATTTCAGAGTTGATTTCGTTAAACATCTGAATTCTGATATCGAACTACTAAAGTTATCAATAACAAACGATAATTTAGTCAAAAAAATATTGCTGTACTTTGAACATTGTATTAAGAGTTTTAACAAGGAGGTCAACTGAACGTTACTTGCAGGTGATTGTGAACCCTACTTGTGAGTATACAAATTTTATCTGTACCCTGACTTGTGAGTATTTTAAAGATTTAACGGAGAAAACGTTTATGATTAAACTTGGTGTCAACACTTATTCCACAGATCCCACATTCATGTCGTGTTTTCATGGGCGTGCTTTGAGGGTTTGTTACACTGTGCTACAGTCAAGACCCTCAACAACAAATGATTCATCCCAATCCATCTGAAATACATGTATATGGCCAATTATAGAGAGGGATTTATATCTATCTTTTGACTTAAGATAACTTTAGCCAATAATAAAAAAATTAAGTTGTGTGAAAAGAAAACTAAAAAGTTACCTTATGTATACACTGGCAGGACTTTAAATTATTTAAAAATAAGTGAAAAAAAAACTTGTAAGAGGGAAAACTACCTTTTAGACATTTTACAACAAGATGCAGGAAACTGCTTAAAATGATTTATTAAGAGTGATCTTAGTCGT